GTGCACCCTTTTTGAAATGTGTACCCGTTAGCTTGGACCACAGCTTCTGCTTTGATGTTTACTTCAGTGCCAAGGGATATTAGCCCTGCGTAGGACGCCATCTTCAACCGCTTCTCTCTCAATAATGTGCTAGATTCAATGCTTTGAACTTCACAAGCTTCATGAAATTCAATGACTAGTTTTTACCTTTCACTTGCTTACTGCTAACAAAACTTGTAAACACCGGACTGATATATAAATTTGTGCATTAGTCAGATTGTCAGTCAGTTAGAGGAAGTGCAAGGGGGGAAAACTTTTCCCTGTTTCTCAGACCGTTAACTACTTTTTATTGTGGTTTGTATTGCTTTTTTTTTTTTTTTTGAGAGACGAACGGTTGTGATGAAATGGAGTAGTATGTGTCTGATGGAAACCAATGTGGTCTGCTGTACAGACGGAGGAAGTTAGAGAAGACTCTATGGGTTTGTTACTGGATCAAGGTATCTCGTTTGCACCATTTTACAGGCAGGTGGTGAGCAAGTTGTCTTGCTAGGTGATAAATCACACTTAAAGTGCTGTCTGTCTTTGCATGTGCCATTATAAGCTCCAATGTTTGACATGCCAACCCAAACTTCACCCCAAATGTTCTGCGGTACACCTCTGTGGGTGCCTGTTTTAGTGCCATGTCAGCAATCAAACAAAACAAAACAAAATTATATAGTGGAATTGTTTTTTGTCTTGAACATTTGAAAAATGTTCATGTCCAGCCAAAGAATAATGTGCTTTTAAATGGTTATGCTAGCCTAGGGATGGACTGATATGAATTTTTTCAAATTAGTGACTGTAACAAAAGTTGGTTGATAAGGGAAGGAGGCGGGGACCAGCGAACGTTCAACGTAACTTTAATCACCAAATAAACAAACAACAAAACAAAAGTAAAGTGGCAGCCCCTCACGGACGACTGCCGCATAAACTAAATCAAAAGTCCAGGCCTAGTCCTCTCTCATCATTCCGTGTCGTCACTCCTCATTTTATCCTTCCGGAGTTCCCCCGTGGGACTCGAGACTGTTGTGGCGCGCAGTTGACGCTCATTAGCTCTCGCTCCACCCTTCCAGCTTGCCACAATGACATTGTCCATCCATATATCAGTCCATCAAATTGAACTATTTTTACACATGCAACATGTCTTTAAGAACATGATTTACATGTTCTTGTTGGATTTTATAGATATGCAGTTCTCTGCTTTTTTATCAGCATTAAAGGTCGGAGGTCAGCAGTATAATGCGTATTGCATATGATGCATGTTTGTTGGTGAGTACTCATGGAGATCACAGCGAGACATGAGTGGAAAGCTCACCAAAACAGTGTAGTTTGATGAATCTGAGGTCACCTGCTGACCACAGACAGTAAAGCACACAGGAATCCGCCACACGCCCAGCAGCAGGTGTGCGGCAGCAGGCATCGTCACGCTCGCCTGGAAAAAACATTTTGCATTCCAGAGCCGACGAACTCCTGAGAGCATTTCTCCTAAATTCCTAGCCCTAAAATCATTTCTACATGTTTTTTTTCTTTCCCTGGTTCTGTGGAGTTGGTAATTTACTGAATGACAGATCTTTGGTGGCTGCACGTACGCCTTAGCGCATCTTATTTCTCATGTTTCCAAAACATCCCCATGGCCTCTCAGATAGTGCTAAAGGTTTCGAAAACAACACCTCGACTGAGAAAAAAAGAAACGTAGCCAATGTGCTCTCATGTTGCATGTTTTTTCTCTTGGTAGTTGCCTGAGGGGGTGAGAGTGTTTAGCAAGAGGATATTCACCCAAATTGTCTGTCTTCCATGGAAGACAAAAAAGTAATTTTGAAGAATGTTCACGCTGCCCTTTTCCATTCTAATTCTTTCAATTAAGCCATTCAGTGCTTTTGTGAGGATTTACGTGGAATCAGATTATACCTGAATTAGTTTATTTGATGGCCGATGCCAATATCTTAAAGAGCAGTGTAGCCGATGGACGATATAAAGATGGTATACATCACAATATTTAATCCGATAGTAAATACAACAATTGCTGCAATTAAAATTATATATTTTTTTACCTGATAGTTGTTGAAATAATTGGCAATAGATCATTTTAAAATCAATCAACTTAAAAAATAAAGGGTTAGTTCACCCAAAAATGAAAATTAAGTCATTAATTACTCCGAAGATGAACGAAGGTGTTACGGGGTTGGTACAGCATGGGGGTGAGTAATTATTGACTTAATTTTCATTTTTGGGTGAATTAACCCTTTAACACACAACAAGAAGGACAGATGTCATCAGTTTGAACTTGCACGCTCTCTAAAAACAGCCTCGGTTCAGGATAAGTGTAGATCATCCATCCCAGTTACTTGGAAGACAACGTTGGCCACATTTCTTTTTTGGGGGTTGTGCTTCATGAAATGAATGTCCTGCACTTGGCTTAGTGGTGTCTGTCCGAGCTGTGGAATGTGGAGGGCTGTTTAGGAGGAAATCATAAAATGCAGCCCTGAACAACCCAAACCCAGAAGCCACAGTCTCAGACCACAGTCGCTTTATGGTGCACATGGAAAGGTGTGGGCTTGAGCTTGTTTTAGCTGAGGTTACACACATGTGGGCTGAATCTGTTGAGCTCGGACTGTTTGAGAATGTTTAAAGGGCTTAGAATTTCCTGTCATTGATGGAAGAGTAAGACTAGATTTCTCAACTTTATTTGAGGTATCATCATTGTCCATAGAGCAAGTTATGCCAAAGTTTAATGACTTTGGGTTAAGGTTGGGGTTAGGCTTAATGCCAATCAGCTGTTCCACACTCGTATCAGAAGCATAAAATCTTTGCTATCCCTTTTTGGTGGCTCTTAATTGTGCATCTAAAAACCTCTGAATGGTTGTTTTGAGCCCTGCAGACCCTGATATTGACTTTATAGTTGAATGGAAACCTGAGCATATGTGCTCATCACGAGTTTTGGCCCTCATACTGTTTGCATATCTGCTTCAAATCCATTCTCTGAAAATAGCTTATTCGTCTAGATCTAATTGGGGTTTTCTGCGGTTTCTTATTTTGTGTCAAAAATCATTCAGATACAGTGCTATGTTTAAAGGGTCACTCCACCCATTTCAACATTAATCTTTATTGAAAGTGGGTTATATATGTAGTCGAAATGTAAAAGAAATTTTAAATTTGGTGCCCTCTTGACCGAGAAAAGACAGAAAATAACTTTGGGGCGCATTTGTATGTAAGACAACAACTCCCACAATGCACCATGTTGCACAGCTCCGCAAGCCACTCCCACTAATCCAGAACAGCGCAAACATCAGAGAAATCGCTCTTCCGCCTACAAGAAGGCTAGCTGCCAAATGAGTTTAAAATTCATTTCACAAAAAATGTCTAGTTAGTTGTGGCGAGCAGGACGAGGGCGAGGGACGTGAGAGGACGACGCGAGTGATAATGAATGGCACCTGTGCAGCGGTCTCATATCTCTCACGGAGGAGCGGAAGCACAAAAGGAACCGGCCTGATTTTATGTTTTGTTTCTGTTGTGTGTGGCCAGCTGGCTTATACTTTTGTTTTGTATTTGTTTATTTTACTATTAAAACGTTTAAATGTTCGCCGGTTCCAGCCTCCTTCTTCCCACAACAACGAACCCCGTTACATTGGCAAACTCATTAGTGAATTACTCGTTTGTATTTCTTTCTATATGGTGAATTATTGCATGATACCTGCATGTTCAGTCAGGCGAAACTAGGATGGTTCACATCACAACACAAACGTCCGTGTGGTCGTCTGATTCAGAGATTTCGTCCAGGAGAAACTGCCTTGTTGAAATTCTCTGCAGCAGACGGACTCTATCTGTGTCCGTAGCGCACAGCGAGAGCACACGCACCAGCAGCCCGCACAGCTCAAGCCAGCCCGGGCTCCTCGTTCGCGACAGGCAGCCGCCTCCTGTTCCACCATCAGCCTCAGCTGCTCTTCACTATATTGGGGCTCGTAAAGATAGCCACGAACAGCGGATTCGAGCAGCAGAATTTCAAAATCCTCTTCTTCCATATCATGTTTAGTTTCTTCCGTCGTCATTGTCGTAACTTCCTATATCCACAGCGCTTGTTAGCTTAGCTTATTAACAAGATGGCTGATATTGCTTTCAGTATCTGCAAGTGAAGTCCCACCCACTGATCTGTGATAGCTCTGTTAGCGCATTAGGTCCAACCCCCTATGGGCGGGTTTGAAAGGGTGGGAATTTGTGCTTGTAGTCTATACAGAAATCCCCCCTTTTTACACTTCCTCCTACAATGACGTCAAATGACGATTTTTGCGTCATTGTAGGAGGAAGTGAAAAAGGTAAATAGTAGATTTATCTCGTCTCAGGGGAAAATGAAAGAATGTTGCACGACCATTCAATAGTATGACTGGTTGTCTAACAATGGACCTCTTAATGCAAATGGGTGGAGTGACCCTTTAAGGACTAAGGACTTGTATTAGCATCATGATTGTAAGCTAAAGGTCTGTTTACATCAAGTCTGATTTTTATATCCATTTTCATTACAACATTTTAAAACTAAAAATAACCCCTTATAACTAGTACAAAAACATGTCAAACAGTAAGATTTCAGATCATGAGTCCAAAACCGTTATTCATTCATTCAAGAAAGACATTGAGCTGAAATTGTTTTTGAGTACATTGAGGCTATAAACAATTGGAGTGAAAATAAGAGATATGACTGTATGACAAGCAATTGCTGACTATTTTTTAAATAATATAATAAATGCAAAAAAATACTGATTTCACTTACTTAAGTATGTGAATGCAAACTTTTTCCAGAGAATAATGAATAAATTTGCATTAGAATTGGCATGGTCCATTGTGACCAAATCCAATGGTCACATTGGATTTGGTGTGAACAGTCCTTAAGTTGTATGATTTTGTGCTGCTTTTTATGTGTTTTGCTAATAGTGATTTAATTTATTGTTGCTTTGTGGTCATGTGACTTATGTTGTCATGTTTTTTGTCAGGTGGAGCAGTCCAAGGTGCTGATAAAAGAGGGTGGAGTTCAACTGCTGCTCACCATCGTGGACACGCCAGGCTTCGGAGATGCCGTTGATAACAGTAACTGGTATGTGTGATTTTGTGTATTTTCTGCATCTCATGTGTAAACAGCTGAGAGTCTCCTCATATTGTTGTTAATAAATGAGGGATGGCTAATTTGTTTATATTACATTTACATGTTAACTCTCAATGTTGATTATGTGTTCTGTAGCTGGCAGCCTGTCACCGACCACATTGACAGCAAATTTGAGGATTACCTCAACTCGGAGTCACGCGTCAATAGACGCCAGATGCCCGACAGCCGAGTGCACTGCTGTCTGTACTTCATCGCTCCCTCTGGTCATGGGTAGGCACTCCGTTTCAAGCCTTAGACACACACAAATTCTGTATATTCGGCTTGTGCTTTTCTTTTGCTACGGAGGGGCTTTTAGAAGTGAGCTCTAAAGTGATGCCAAGTACATTAGGATTTATTGCACTGTCAGCGTTTTCAGACTAAGTTGTCGTCAGATTACTTGTTGTATAAGTAAAATCTGGTACTCATCCAGTGGTAAAATAAAACATAACCTGGCCTAAAACTTTCTCTGGCTTAAAGTCATGCTCTGACTGTTTTTGTCTGCACATCCAAGAAGTCAGAAAAAATCTGAAAAGTCAGGAACACACAAGTATATTTACCTGTGTTTGCCAGGCAGGTTACTGTGTTGCCCATACTGGAGGTTTTGAATTTGAAGTCCCTAACCCTGTTTTATGTCTCAGAATGATGAGACATGTTGTTTTTGGTACATTTGATTTGTTTGTTGGTTTGCCTGGTGTTTTTTGTCTGGTTTGTTTGTTTAGTGTTGTTGTTGGTGTTTGGTGTTTTTTATTTTTGTTTTTTGTTTTGGATTGTTTGGTGGTTTAGTTTTGTTTGGTTTGAATGTTCTCTTTTGGGCCATTTCTCAACCACATAACAAAGTGCTAAAAACCAGCTTAGCACACTTGAACACTACTCTGAACACCCTAGAAACCACATAGCAACGACCTTAACCATCAATCAGAACACCTTAGCGAACCCATAGCAATGTCTTGGCAACCAATCAGATCTCCCCAGTACCTTAGTGGTTGGTTTTGCATGGAAATGCACCATATGTCGCACACAAGCGTTTCTCAGAGAATGAAATGCCAAAAATCACTAATCCTTCCTTTGAAATCCTCAGAATGTCAATCTGGAAAAATGTCAGTGCCCTCTCCTATTGAAACTTTTAATTGAATCAAGAGACCAAAAAACACCATTTCACCTGCTGATGAGAATCCAACGTGCATGTGTGTAATGGCTAAAGCTGTGAAAGTTATACTGGCCTGAGTGGACAAGCACAAATGAATTTCCTGCCATTTATTTATTGCTCTTCTTGCAGCACATGTGGCTTTACTACGAGCCGAGTTACAAGTTCAGCCAAGCTGCCAAACAGCAGTGTAAATGTGATACCTCACTACTGAACTACAGAGGAGACCTTTGCGGCTGTTTTTGGACTCATTCTCAGTGTTTAGTTTGAAACGTTAAACCCTCATGTTCTTCTCTCTCTCTCTCTCTCTCTCTCTCTCTCTGTCTGTCAGACTGAAACCACTGGATATTGAGTTCATGAAACGGTTACATGAAAAAGTGAACATCATCCCGCTCATCGCAAAAGCAGACACACTGACTCCAGAGGAGTGCCAACAGTTCAAGAAGCAGGTGAGTGTGCTAATGGCAAACACTGTACCAGTACACTTACTGTATAACAAGGCTTCTTGTCCTAAAAACATAACATCATAACTAAGTTTTTTTTAGAAACATTTTCTACCCAGTAGAAGTCTTAGACATAAGCTGGTTGTAAACCGAGTTTAACGTCTTTGCCATGTTACTGAATCTTGAATAGGTGCTGGGTTCAGCGCTGCACATTTAATGTGCAGGTGAATAATTTCAATTAATGTGCATAATTTCATAATTAGTTTCTATTTTTTCTTTGTTGTTAAGGTGGAGGCTTTAAATAAGCCCTTTTTGTTTCTCTGCCTCTCCCTGCACAGTATATGGATTGTACTTTCTTGGTTTATTGTTTATATTTTATATTCGTGTAAAAAAAAAACTAAAACTGAACAATAAATCGTAATGAATTGTTCAATATTAAACAATAGATTAAATGGAATTTAAAAAAATGTAGATTTTCAGCTGGCTCAGAACGGTTTGCTTTAATTCTGCAATGCAGGTCACTAAATAATGTGCATGCAAGGCACTCCAGGTTCACTTTTTAACATTCATATCATTCCAAACATTTTTAACCACTACAAGTTATTTTAACAAATGTGACATCGGAACATATTGAGAAACATAATACAAAAATGTTGTCAACTACAAACAGAAACACAAGGATTTTCCCTCAGTTATCCACTGAAACTCGAAGGTTTAATGAGATCACCTATGAACAATGGCTAACCAAAACAATGGCTCTCATTCACTAACCGTGCGTACGCACAATTTGTGCGTGAAATCTGTACAAACATTTTCACAAACAAATCATGATTCATCTATAACTTTTGTACAAAATTATTCTAAATTTACGAAAGAACGTAGGAACAGCAGAAACCATTCATACAAAACTCAAATACCCTGGGTGGCCTTATAAACATGTTAAGATTAAATTGTATTTTTCAACTTTGATAACCAAAATTAAATATTTAAATGTTTTTCCTTGAGAAAAATTTATTCGTGATTTAAAAAAAGTTTGAACGTAACTACACCCTTGCCTCATTTAGTATATGTGGATTCATGAATATGCAAATTAGCCCCGCCTCCACTCACTCGCACCAGCTCAGAGATCGAGTTCAGCTCGTTGATGATCACACGTTGACGTGATTGGTTACAAGGTAGTCTGACACGTCAGAAACACCAGCAATTTCAAAACGCGTCTTTGGTTCACTGCAGTTTTAAGGAGAAAATACTCAGCAATGGTGTTGACTTATGAATTTGCACATGGTTTATCTTAAAGCATATTAAAAACAGCACATAGACATATGCTGGATTGCTTAAAAGCTGAATTTTCACCACAGGGGGACTTTAAACATATTTAATCACACACACACAGAGATACATTTTATATATATATATATACTGCAATTATTAGTGAATGAAACCCAATATCTTATAACACATACAAATTTTGCTTAATAGCCTTTGTGTCAGCTATTGCACCTGTCTGTGATAACTTAAAATGCTTTTTAGTTAGGCAGGTTTTGGAACAGAGCCCATGTGTACATATATAGTACATTGAAATTTATTTATTTAAAAAAAGCAAAAATCTTGTTGTTTTCATTATATAATCCCTTTTGCATGTGCATGAACAAACATTCAGCCTCTGTTCAGTTTGATATTGACTGACCTCACTGATGAACAGCTCTACATAGAGATGCAGGAGTTATGTCAGATCACAGCATCATGAAAGCATTCCCGGTGTCTCAAATGATGCATGTGGGACAGTTTAACATCTGCAAAACATCTGAAGTGACTGGTGTGCGTGTCACAGCGGCGGCAGTGAGAACGCATCATAACACGAGCGATAAATCTGTCCACACATGGTGTTTGCTGACTCCTTTGAGAGTAAATGCAATCTCAAACCAGTGACACTGAGAACCTTCAGAGCCTGCTGGGAGATTCCAAGTCTTTTTACTTGTCAGCACCAATTTTATTCTTTTATTTTTCATCCTGTCCTTTGTCCAGATAATGAGAGAGATCCAGGAACATAAGATCAAAATCTATGAGTTTCCAGAGACTGATGATGAGGAGGAGAGCAAGCTGGTGAAGAAGATTAAGGTTTGTGTGTTCACGATTGATGATGAATGATTCTTTCCGCTCTGACACTGAAATTGTGGCTTGTTTGAATAATTCGATACTGTTAAGGCCCTGATATACTATTAAAAAATAAATTAAGAATCAATAAGTGTGATGTAATTTCAAACTAAATCTGGCCGAAACGAAGATGTCTTGGAGTTTGTTTTAGTGGTTTGAAATAGCTTGCTAGCACGAGTAAAAGCATGAATTGTGAAGTCTTTTTATTTTATTTCAGTTAAATTTCAATATATTTTGTTTTATATAGTTTTAGTTAACGATAATAACCCTGTTCAGATTGCAGTTACTACTCAAATATTGGCTCCCTAATTCAGCCCATCAGGGAAATAGGTCAAACAGAGACACACACTCTCTCTCTCTCACACACACACACACACCCATTAAGAGTCAATATCACCCACCTGACGTTCCCAGTCTCTCTCTCTCTCTAAACATGTCTATGTGACATGTATGTGTTTTTGTCCCTCAGGACCGTCTGCCCCTGGCTGTGGTCGGCAGTAACACCATCATTGAGGTTAATGGGAAGCGTGTACGAGGGAGGCAGTACCCCTGGGGCGTGGCAGAAGGTAGGGGGTGAAAGGTCACCTCCCCGTGTGTGTGTGTGTGTGAGTTTGTAGGGAAGGACAGACCCTGAGGGTGTTGATCTACTCTAGTACACAGCAGATCTTTCCCATAACACAGTGAGTCTGAGAGATGTGTGTATGAGCTAAATGTAGTTGTTTGGGTTCATTAGTGTTGTTTGCTAAGGCTATTGTTGCCGTTCCATACCGTTTGCATTATGGACAGTAATGTACCTCTTATTGTGCAGTTTGATAAAGCAGTCCATTTGATCAATGACAGCACAGAAAGCTTTAACTTGTGACACAATATTCACCAGATGATGTCTATCCTCCAATGAATCATTTTGGATGGACTCTGCCAGTGAAATATAAATCATTTCTTGTCATAAGAGCATTAATGTAACTTGTATCTATCAATGAAGACCAGCAATAATGATTTTCTTTTTGATGACATCGTAATAGCATTATATACACATCATAGTCAGATGTATGGGATGCCTGATAACTGTATTAAACTTAGGTTTCTTTTTTTAAGATAATTGGGTCATCGTTTTATTTATTATAATTTTATTTATAATTAAATTCTGGGCTTTCCAATCTGGACTGGAACTTTAATGATTAATTACCTTACTAATTAATTAAATCATAACAATGTAAAATTAAAACAAATAATAAAAAAAATCTAAATAAACCACACTTTTTTAAATGTCATTTAATAGTCACATGACAATAAATCATTGAAATTATTACTTAATATTAATATAATCAAATATAGTTTAGAGATGATTTATTATTTTTAATTTCAGTTACTGTATAACAATAGTATAACGTCATTGGTGTAAGTTAATTAAGTCCTCTTACTGAAATGAAAGAATAAACAAGTGACATTTAAAAATGTAAGACATAATGAAGTGATTGTCTTCATAGTGTTCTTAGGGTCATGAGATCAACACTCTCTAGGCTATGCAGTGGGTTGGACAGTAAAGTGAAAGCCTGCTGATCTGCAAACAGGAAGTGTGTGTCTTTTGATGTTTCATCGAGAGCTCCTGTAGGGCCTGTCACGTGTTACGCCGCAAACATAGTTTGAAATATGAGCATGAATGAAGCTTTGTAGATGAAGTTCCAGTGATGTTTCAGAGCTCATGCATTTCAAGCAGAAGATCGGATGCTGATTTGACTTTGTCTCATCTGTTCGCTCACCGAAGCAGTTTGGCTGCAGCTGATGCGAGGGCGGACTTCCTCTTCTTTTTAAAACCTTCAACCTCTGATAACACCAGTGTTGTCAGGCCAAATCCTCTCAAGTGACCCGTACTGCGAGCAGGGTTATTGTGTCTGAGCTCAGTTTGTCAGCTCTACACTGTGTGAGCAGGAAGGCCATGGTTTGATTACTGTATTTGAAACCAAGGGTTATCTGTTTTAAGAGGGTGAGTTTTGAATCCCTGAGATACTTTCAGCAGCATGTAAGCTCACAGATGGCATGTGGTTGGGAAGGAAGGAGAGGTCTACTTCATTCATTCGATAAGTGACGCACACGCAGCAGGAGACACAAGTCATTGCCAGATCGGGTGCCACCTGCTGGTCAGTTTATACATTACAGTAGCACAGGAATGATGAATGCCAGTTTGTTCCTTATGAGTGTCAGAAGCATTTTGTTTGGTTCACTTGTTGTTGTTTAATTGAGTAGGTTATATTTGTTTTATTTTTAGTTTAGTTTGGTATGTTTGTTTTTTATGGTTGTGTTTTTTGTTTTAGTTTTTGTTCTGTGATTTTGTTTGGTTTTTGTCTTGTTTTTGGTTTATCTATTTGTTTTATTTGTCTTTAAAGCTTGTAAAAACATGCATTTTTTCTTTCATCTGTGTAAAACCTTTTTTTTTTTTTTTGAGAATGATGATATTGTGCATTAAACACTGAGTGTGTTTTTTTTTTTGTGTGCAAACTTTTGCTCCATATATTTCGCATTAGAAAGTGGTGGATATTGTAGTGTAATGTTGTCAATGTTTCTTTATTCACTTTTAATACTTTTTTTTGTTTTTAGTTGAGAATGGGGAGCACTGTGACTTCACAATCCTACGAAACATGCTCATCAGGTATATTATAAATCTACACCAGCACTAATACCGGATGATGGAGGTGGAATTCTTATAATTTCTCCAAACTGTCTTTTCAAAAACATCATCGTCCATATTAGAGTGATTCATCTGTTGCCTTCTGTAATACACTAGTGTTCAAAAGTTTTGGGTCTGTAAGATTTAAAAAAAAAAAAATGTTGAAGTAGTATCTTATGATCACCAAAGCATCATTTATTTGATCAAAACTACAGTAAAAACAGTAATATTGTGAAATATTATTACTATTTAAAAAAAAACTTTATTTCCTATTTGAATATATTTTAAAATGTAATTCATTCCTATGATTTCAAAGCTGAATTTTCATGAATTATATTAGAAATCATTCTAATATGTGGTTTAGATATGTTATTAACTATTATTATTATCAATGTTGAAAACACTTGTGCTCCTTAATATTTTTGTGGAAACCATGATAAAAAAAAAATCAGGATTCTTTGATGAACAGAAAGTTCAAAAGAACAACATTAAATGTCTTAAGCATTTTAATGCATCCTTGCTAAATAAAAGTATTAAATAAAAAAAAATCTTACCTAAAACTATTGAACAGTAGTGTATGTCTGAGCTGAACATGCTGAGATATGAATCTGTTATTTATTTGTTTTCTTGTATCTCCTCAATCACAGAACTCACATGCAGGATCTGAAGGACGTGACCAACAATGTCCATTATGAGAACTATCGCAGTAGGAAGCTGGCGGCTGTTACTTACAACGGCATAGACAACAACAAGAACAAAGGCCAACTCACAAAGTGAGTGTTTTTCACTAATACAAGCTCGAGAGCCTATTTTAAGCCATTCTTTAAGTGTACATCAACATCAGCAGCACTGTTTTCTGAGGTCAGTTTACTGTACATGAAGCAGTTCACCATGGTGCCATGTCTGTGGTTATAAAATGGCGGTAAAGGATCAGAGTGTTAATCTGGACCCCAGAGCTAGACTGACACATGCTAATAGTGCGGAAGTCAGTGCTGTGACACTGATGATTAACACATCCAGGCTTCCTAACAGCCACAGCTGTTCACCCTCAACACAAGCCTGTCACTAACCCTCAAATACAGTCCAAACGCTCGCTAACCGGCCATTCACTTCCACCCTTACGCGTACACAGCTCTGTCTAAACTAAGAGTCCCCATCTTAACCAAAGCATAAGAGTGGCTAAAAAAGTACAGCTGCTAACATTGTTTTTCTAACACATGATGCACTGTGAGCATGCTAAGTGTGTGTGTGTGTGTGTGTGTTTTTATTTTAGATCTGACTCAGTTGAAGGCATGTAAGTGTCACGCACAAGTTCACATTTGTCTCGTCCTCTCTGCTCTCGGTTTTCCTCCTTTCTCCTTGTTTGTTCACATTCGGAGTCGGGCATCCTGCTCAATGTTCCTTTCTGTCGGCAGTCCCAGCTTTGTGTTAGGAACCTGTAGTGTGGTACCTTTTATGTCCTCCTTTATTTAGCCATTTAAGGAGGTTTATCCTGCTTTCCATTAGCTTGGCAGTCTTGATACAAAATTAAAAGGATTTATTAAGTTAGTATAAGAAGCTGGGCAACTCAGGACATGTTCATGGTAAACTGATTTGGATGCTGCCTGACAGGAACTAAAGCCTGTACATACAAATTTGTGCATGTAAAACCGTATTTTTTATTTTATTTTATTTTAGCACACCGTTTAGGGAAAAGTACATAATTTGATTTGAGTAATTTCCAGGTCTGAAGAAGTATGGGAAAAAAGAAAAAGAAAAGGCTACTGCCCCCTTTTCAGTTTTCTAAAATATATAATTAAATTTATTATACAAGCAGAGTGATTTCATGGCAAAGGTTCAGTGATCATTTAGTGATTGTCAAACATGAATGAATTAATTCAAGGCACACATTTTCATTACGCAAAACTGTTTTTACCATAAATGAGTCTCTTTTGAACTTCATTCAGACTGTACTTTGCTGTTTGGTGAGAGTGCCACATCAAACCATATGTACAGTTTCAAACTGATGTATCAGAGAATATATATATATATATATATATATATATATACACACAGGTTAAAAAGTGTTTAGGTTTCTACTCCTCATACAGTAGTCAACATTTGAAGTGGATCAAAAAAGTTCATCAAAGTTGTCCTAAGACAAGACCAGGTATTGTTCAAAATTCATGTATAACTGTAAAAGGTTTTAATCCACTTCAAATGTTGACTACTGTATACGCAAAGAAAACCAATGGATAAAAAAAAACAGTTATAAAATATTTACAGATGACTGTACTATATACCAAATAATAATGCTGAAAATAATGCTTTAAGAACCATTTATGTCAAATTTGGTCTGAAAAATATATTGATCTATAGAGATCTTTGGAAATTTGAGTCTAAAAAAGTATGCAATTTTGAAATGAAAAATGTGTTACTTGGAACCCTGTTTTATTTACGTGTCTACCTTTTTTCCCCACAAGATAATGATAATGTGCATCAGTGTGAATTTATAATTGTTTTTTTGCAAACTTTTGCTCCATTTATTCGCATTAGACTTATGTACAGGCTTTCAGTCCTCCGTAATTCCGCTCTGAATTATCTATATATAATCTTGACTAGTTATTTGTCATTTTTCAGCCCATGTTAATTGGCAGGTTAATTTGCTCATATTGTTTGATAAGTGACTGTGGCTTCCTGTGCTATCTGAGCGGTGTTGATCTTGCGGCCTCAGACTAACACAGCCGAGATTCAGCCTACTAACTCACATTCCTCACAACTGCACCGCACTGGGTCCTAAAACCTCTCCCTCCAGGGTCCTCTCTTCCACTACTGCTCCTTTGTTTGTAATACTCAAAAGTTTTGGATTAAACGGTCTAACGAATGTGTGTTTGTGCATCTGCCCGTGCGTTGCTTTTGCGGGCGTGTGTGTGTGTAAGTAGGAGCCCCCTGGCACAGATGGAGGAGGAGAGGAGAGATCATGTGACAAAGATGAAGAAGATGGAAATGGAGATGGAGCAGGTGTTTGAGATGAAGGTCAAGGAGAAGATCCAGAAACTCAGAGACTCTGAGGCAGAGGTACCACCTCACGTGCACACACCCAACAAAACCAATCCTGTGTTTGTCTCCTAAAGATGAGCTCAAGTGTATTTGTGCTTAAATATACTTCATATGTTTCTGAGCAACTCAAACTGTTTCTGCAGTATGTATACTGTGCACAGTATGCAGATTTTTTTTTTGGATGAGATACTGTACTACTACATTATCCCACAATCTAATAGGTTTCAACTTTACATTTCCTGTATGATAAATGAATGAAATCGAAGTCCATTTTAGCATTATTTGATCTGACAATCTAAGACATTTTTCACAAAATTTCATTAATATTGCAGAATTATTGTATTTTTTTTAGAATGATATGGGCTGAATGAGGTCATTTGGCAACAATGTACTGTAGCATATCGCTGTTTGAAAGTGTTTATTTCATATGCTGTATACATCATAAATGATTCTTAGTAAATCTGTTTTGTTTTGCTTGGTCTATTCAGCTGCAGCGGCGTCATGAACAGATGAAGAAGAACCTGGAGGCCCAACACAAGGAGCTGGAGGAGAAGAGACGTCAGTTGGAGGAGGAGAAGGGCAACTGGGAGGCCCAACAACGCATGCTGGAGCAGCAGAAACTGGACGCTTCCAGGTACACACATTTTTACAAAACTAGTGAGCTGCATAAGGTAAAAGGACTGCATGCATCCTTCATGAATAAGGAAATTCTAGAATGCATTGCGTCAAGCTTATTATTATATTATTATTATTATATTATATAGGTAACACTATTTCATTGTGCTGTTGTTACACGTTACATGTATTTATTATAGTAATAACAGTTAATTATGTATAATTACAAGCAACTAACACTTAACCAAACCTTAACCCTAAAATAAGTACATGCTGTTAATGAAAGTGCTCTATTATGCTTTTCAGATATTATTTTAATGTAGTGTGTATTATAGCTGTTTGTGAATGTAAAATGTCTGCAAAGTTTCAAAGATCAGAGTGCACAACAAATGGAGTTATTATGGGCATTCGCATTGGAGGAACCTTTTCATAGTTCCTATAACTAATTGTGGAAGTACCCGCTTTTTGGCGTGATCGCACTGCAGGAACTGGGAACGATTTTAGTTCTAGGAACTCTTTTGGAGGAACTAATTTAGCTCCTACTTCAGAGTAGGGTCTAAACCAGCACTATAGGAACTACCAGTGACGTAAGTGTATGCTGATTGGCTGAAGACATACGAAACACCAGCACCCACCATTTTAAAAAAAGCTGTGTAAATGCACAGATTATAGCCTTTGTTTACTCCACGAACTAACTCTAAGGACATGGAAAACAGTGATAAGGGGCTTTCGCACCGGATAGTTCTAGGAACTAACCACCAGGGTGGTTCCCCGAGAACTAATGGTTCCCTTAGGAACCTTTTCCCATTGCATTCGCACCGCCAGTAGGAACTCTGAAGTGATGTAAGCCGCACTTGTGACTTCTTTGTTGTGACTTTTATTTTGACTGCGCTCTGACCGTTACAATCTGACCAACAGTCCTGTCTAATACGTTATTAGAACTATTATACATAAAAGTAGACAGTATATAGAAGGTTATATATATAAATATATATGGTAATACATGATCATGTTTCGCTTGGTCCCCTCAAAGTTGCGTTGGATTTTCTCCTTAGCGTAAAGGTTAAGAGGCCCATCTATCACTGTTTTCCATGTTCGTAGAGTTTGTTTCTGGAGTAAATATATAGGCTATAATCTGTGTTTACATGGCTTTTTTTTTTGCTTTTTTTTTTAATGGCGGGTGCTGGTGTTTCGTGTGCGTTCGGCCAATCCGCGAACACTAACGTCACGGATAGTTCCTATAGTGCTGGTTTAGACCCTACTCTGAAGTAGGAGCTAAATTAGTTCCTCCAAAAGAGTTCTTAGAACTAAAATCGTTCCTAGTTCCTGCGGTGCGAACACGCTGACATCCGGGTACTTCCGCCAATAGTTCTAGGAACTATGAAAAGGTTCCTCTGGTGCGAAACCCCCTATTGATGGGCCTCTTAAACTTTACGCTAAGGAGAATATCCAACGCAAGTTTAAGGGGACCAAGCTAAACATGATCATGTATTTCTGCTTAGCTAGCAACACTGGACATCAACCACACGGCATACGCTAATACCTTTTCATATACTGTGTACTTTCTTTGTATTACAGTTCTATCTAATAACTTATCAGACAGGACTGTTAAACAGATCGTAAACTAATGAAGACGGAGAATGGGAGCTCTGGCATTCTCAGTACCTTCAAATTAAATGTCTGCCGCCGTGACTGCTCTGGTGGCTAGTTCCTATAACTTAGTTCCTATAACTTCCTGATGCGAAAGCCCCTAATGTCTCCCCAAAATAAATAAATGTTTCTGATCTGAACTGTCTGAAACAAGTCATCAGTAATTCCAATCTTACTTCCTACACAAACCTACGTAGGTTTGTAAGGAATTTGCATAATGCCAGCCTATGGTCTTCATTGACTGCCCAGGAATGTCAACTTTGACCCCGCCCTCAAATACTGTAGTTGTAGCGGAGGCCTGGAGGAGTTTTGTTTGTGTTTTCAACATGTCAAGAAGATGCTGTTTTTAAATCCACTTAGCATGTATTTTCCTAAGGATGAGGACTTGAACTCAAACAGACCTTAGTTAGGTTAGACGACATATTGAATTTAACATATTGAATGAAAACGAGGATGTGAGGGGTAGATGTACAGTCTTTACAATGGCACATGCTGTATAAAGGTCCTGGGTCACGTAATTTTCACAACTTTTGAAACTGATTTATGGAGTTTTCGTCTCTGAATTATTATTTTTTTTCCGGAAAGAAACTATCTTCAGCTTCGTCAGCTGAACAATCAGGGTTGTTGTTAAACAACAGTACAATCCATTGAATGTACATTATTCTATCTCTCACAACCCTTGTTTTCATTCCTGTCTAAAATTAAAAATGGCACTACCATGACTAAGGTCTGTTGATACAGTAAAACCAATGACATTGTTACTTTTCGTATTACTGTGGATAAGGACTGAGGACCTCCGGAGCTGAAATTCAGATATGGTAATGGACGTTTCGTTTCTGACGCGCGTTGTAAGCGACAGACCAATCACAACAGACTGGACCATCTGACCAATCAGAGCTGAGTTGGCTCTTTTGGAAAGAAGGGATTTAGGGAGACCGAATCCTTTACTGGACTATCTCAGAAACTAAGAAAAGAGCTGTAATGTATATTATGTGTTTTTTCCCCTTGGATGCATGTAAAGCTATTGGAGGAGACTGTCAAAACTAAATTAGGAGCCTTTAAAATAGCATAATGGGGGCACTTAAATATTACTTAGTACTTATTTGTGTAATTACACTGTAACAACAGCACATTAAAACGAAATGGCTTAATATTATTATATGCATGTTATATTCAGTCCTAAAAAAGAAAGATCCATCTAATTAAAAATATTGTGCAATCCTTGATATTTTAAACGGTTATAAAGTGTGAATGCCAATGTTTATTTTCTCTAATTTTCTTTTTTCTTATTTTAATTCCTAAAGGACCTTGGAAAAGAACAAAAAGAAAAAGATATTTTAAACCACTTGGACCATCACCACATTCTAGTTGCCAATTATACCAGCCTGGACCCTCAGTCAGTCTGTCGACCAAAATCCTACATTTATATAAAGCCCCATGTTTAGTTTTTTTGTGGGGACAGTGTGCCTCTGCACTCCCCGCTGACCTGGAAACATTTAACACTGTCCACACATTATGCTCTTTTTACGCATCGGTTCATTTGCCAGACCTCACAGAAACTGAGAGCGCAGAAGCGCACTTAATCTATAATACATAAAAACTTCTCAGAGATATGCAATATTGTACGAAACATTGTTTTGAATTTGTAATACGTCAAATTTCCCTCTTGCATCATGTGTTTGTTTAGTGTTTTTAGATCCAGAGGTCACTTCCTCCTCTCCAACTGCATATTGATTGGTCACTTCAATAAAACCTAAAGGCTGAATCTTACCTCAGGCATTTCTGTCCTTTAAACAATTTATTTTGTGGCTTCTTTTCCCTTCCTGAAATGTTAAGCTCTTTCAATATTTGTGTAAATTAAATTATTTAGCCATGGACCTTAGCCATTCATGAAATGTTCCTTTGGTTACTATTATTTTGTCATGTTTAATTTGTTTCTCATATAATGTTCCAGTTCACTGTTTGTTTGAAGCGGTAGCAGATTGTCATCTACAGAGCCTTTATGAACGTCACATGATTTGTCTATGGATCCTCCTATCATGAAGTGCTGTACGACATTATCAACATTATGCAAATTCTAAAAAAAGGAGGATACATCACACATTATGTTGTGTTTGTTGGCTACCGTCGGGTGTGTTTCCTGTTCTTTGTCATGTAAACTGACCCGGAAGCAGTGAGCTGGCGTTCTTGGCCAGTGTTTTTTTTTTTCTCTCTCTCTCTCTCTATAGGCACAGAGTTCCACCAGAGCTGGCCTCCCCCAATACCATACTTAGCTTTCATTCATGTACCTCTGCAGCTCCTTTTTATAATTTTGTTTCTCTTTGTTTTGCTTTTTCATTTTTATTGTACAAAGTCACATAATAAACTTGTGATGATGCCATTTGAATAGTACGAGTTGTTTTGTTTTGACATTCTCAGTGGAGTTTGTAAGCGACAAGATGCATTAACCGTTATAAAACAGCATATGTACGTCTATGAGGCAAAAATACAATGACTGGGCCATTGACATCTATTGTGCATTTAATTTCATACTGAGGAGCCCAATGAATTGTGGTATGATATTTGACAACATGCCAAAGATGCTGCTTAAGATTATATTATAAACCTTGAACATAGTGTCTTGTTAAGAAACAGGTTTGACAGGAAGGGGGCAGCAAAGACTGCATGAACTGTAGGTCTGCCTTAGTGTCAAACTCCTGTTGCTGTCTTATGACTGAATTCTTCATTTGTACATTCATGATCTTACACACACACACATGTGTGTTCAGCATTATACTTGTGGAGAAATATCTTAAACCAATCTGTGAACTCTCACTTTAAAATACAAATTATTTTTTAAAGTGGTTTTGTTTTTTGTTTTCAGAAACCAGTAACCTAGAAAAAGCAGATTTGAAAAAAATTCACTTGCGGATTTGCTTGACATTTCACTGTTGTCTCTAAGTAGTAATATTTATTATAATTGAACTAGTAGGTTTTATTAATATTTTAAATTAGTGTCTTTTTATATTTTTCATTTGAAAGTTTTAGTAATTTTTTAGGGGTGTTTTTGTTTGTTTTTTATGTCTATAGTTGTTTTTCCCTTCAGTTTTAGTTTTTAGTACATCAAGTTAAACTAAATGAAATTGACTACGGTAATTTTGCCTTGTCACATACCGGTAACTGAAATAAGTGTAAGGGTTTTGTTATATTTTATTTCTGTTTAAGTTTATTTGAACTATTTAAAAAAAAGGGGGAATCCTAAAATAATTTAAACTTGTCGTTTAAGTTCTATTAACAATCTTAAAGGGGTCATATAATGCCATTTTTGTACAAGTTAATATGAATCTTTAGGGTCTAAATGAAAACTTTGTTATATACTTTTATTAAAAAATGTCATTAGTATTGTAAGAAAACTAATTTTACCTGGTCAAAAACAGCTCTGTTTTCAGCTCCGTTTCAGTGCATATGACTTTAAATGATAATGAGCTTCGCTTTGTTCTGTGGGCGTTTTGACACAACGCACGTGGAGTGTTGCCTTGACAACAGTTGAGGGTATATTTTGGAACAAGAATGGCAGCAGGAGTCTCTGAGGACACATCTGTGCAACCATATCAATTTGAACCGGAGTCGGACCCGGAACAAGATGACGGCAGGCGCGCTGGAAGCTGTTTCATGCGAGGGGGGCTGAGGGCTGGGTTGGAAAATATGTGACGTCATTGTGGAATGGCTGACGACAAGACATGACATTTCTCTGTATATGTTGTAGCCATTAAAGAAAACATATTTAGTTTCATATTTATGTTTAAATATTATTATTTTTTATTTAATCAATGTTGATTATGAAAGTGAGCGCGCAGCGTGAGAAAGACATGATACATGAGATCATGAAATACCCAAAATGTCTGGAGACATGTCACGAGGAGTGGGTAAGACATGATTTTTACCTTCACTAAGTTTTTTTATTGTTGTTGTTGTAGAAAGACTCTTTTAAAAATATTTTCGTTTAGTATAAATTGTATCTTAATTTTGATATGTTTTATCAAACAATTGCCTATATTTAATAGCTAAATAAGAAGCAAATATATCAGACAATGTAAGGCGCCGGCGATCACTTGCATTGCACGTAAACTGGAGGGCGCCGAAACTCAGCTTGTGCCTCACATATTTTATAAATATAGGATATCTATTAGCTTGAAATGTCTTCTTTTAAACGAAACTATTCAAAACGAAAAGAAATAGACTAGGCCTACTCTCTGATTATGTAATCAAATGTGCATTTCTCTCTGGCGTTCATGGCGAGTCCGCATAACTTCATCTTTTTGCAGCGACACCGAAAACACCTGTTTATTAATAAACAATTACATGTCTCCTTGCTATTTTTGACACATTAATAATCATTACTTTCGCCGGTTCTTTGTGGCAAGGTTTATGAGTGCGGGTGTGCGCTTGAGTGCAGCTATATTAGGCTACGTAAACGCTCATCCTGTAGCCTATTTAAGTAATTAAATCAATATAAAGGGGCGATGTGTCCACAGTGGCTAAAATGAACAACTACTAATCGACTAGAAGAAAACTTTAGTCGGAGGCAGCCCTTATTCCACATATTTTCGAACCAACAGGCCATTCTGGGTTGAGCGCGCGACCCTGAGCGGATTGAGCGAGCGGAGGGATTCAGAAATGCGCTCTCCGCTCACATGCTCTGATCGGAACAAACTAAGCATGACAAATTCAAACTTTATTTCATTTTCTCCGTAGCTTGAACACTCAAACACAGCATGTCTATTTTAATTTTTCCCCCCACGTTTTTTAGTACAATATTATGTTAGTCCACAGCCCCCACCAAGGGGGCTGTGGCTATGACGATGGGGGCTGCAGCCCCCGCAGCACCCCCCTTCCCGCGCTACTGGATGACGGCCCGAAGAAGTTAGACAATTAAGGCTCGAACAGGACGTTTCTGAATGGTTGGTTAACATAATGTCACTTTGATCTATTTTTGTACTGGCAGGGTAGAGTAGTGAGATAGGAATGCTATGTGTTTACTGATGTATAGGTTAGTTCGTTGACAGATTGATGTTACAGTTAATGGTCATGATGAACAACTTTTTTTCGCGATTTGCAAAGATTAATATAAAGGTTAATAAAACTTTACACTCACCTCTTCTGGAGGTCCAGCAGGAACATGAATAGTTGGTACCGATTCTTTTTTCAGGAGCAGTTTCTTAGCAAAACCAGCTTTATACTGATCCTCGTTTATAAAGCAGTCTGGTGAGAAATGATTCGCGCAAACATGAAAGCATTGACGTTGATCGTGGGGAATATTCTCTTCGAAAACAAAACTCAGCCACTGTCTTTAGCGGTTCGGATTTAGGAACATCAAAATGTCTGCTGTGATGTGATTTAAATGATTATTGCAGTAAGCTCCACTAGGAGGCGCTACTGGTTTTTGTATTGTTTAGCTCTGCTTGTTTTACGGCAGATGACCGGCTCTCCGGCAGTTGTAATATTGTTGATAAATACTTGACGCCACTGTTCTCTGCTCTTGACAAATCCTGTTAATAAACCGTTGAAGACTACTTACAGGAATCCGTGAATTCATGACATGGTGTCAGAAGAGGGACCGTTCGCCCTGTGAACAAGATTGAAGCAACGAAATGGCTAAGTTTCAGTCTCCTGAATCGTTTGACTTCACCCAGCCTTAGGCCTGGCCGATCTGGACACAGCGTTTTTCCCATTTTAGGATAGCAACTAAGCTAAACCAAGAAGACAATGATATACAAGTGAATACGCTGTTATACGCAATGGGGAAAGAGTCGGAACCTATCTGTAGCACCTTTACATTTCCGAATGATGTTCAGCACTATTATGAAGAGGTTTTGAAAAAGTTTGATGAACATTTTGTGGCAAAGCGGAATACGATACATGAACGTGCCTGTTTCCATAGACGCTCACAGCTCCATGGGGAGAGCGTGGAGGCGTTTGTCAGAGCTTTATAAGCTTGCAGAGCACTGCGATTTTGGAGCAACGAACAAATAAGGGACCGCATTGTAATCGGCATCGCAGATGGAGAAGTGTCGCAAAAGTTACAACTCGAACCGGACTTGACATTGGAGAAGGCAATCAGTATTGCGCGACAGTCAGACCTTATTAAAGCACAAAACGCCAGCGCCAGAGCAACAAATGTTGCGGTGGGTGCCGTTAATGCACGCAAGTACAAGCAGCCTAGGCAGTATGACAAAAGGTATGCCAAAAACAAAGATGAACATTACAAGAACGTGACACATCAAACAAGGAAAATGTGCACAAGATGTGGGATACAGCATGATTACTTTGCATGTCCAGCTACAGGTAAACGCTGCTGCAAATGCAATAAAACAGGACATTTTGAAGCACTGAGTAAAACTAAGAATGTGAATGCAGTTAAAACTACTGACGGTGACAGTGATGAGGGCAGTGCATGGTTTCTCGGGGCTGTTGCTGATGGCAGTGAAGGTGATGAGGTTTGATTTCCATTACACGAGAGTAGATGTTAAAAGTTCATGCTGATTTGTACTCGGCTTTCGCCAAGATAAGCGCAAACTAAGACGTACCTTTACAGTAACCTATGCTTCTCCATCCATTTACGCTTCTTTCCATATGGTGATGTGAATCTCCTTCTGTCCGGCGTTAACGGCTGCAGTGTACTTGGCGCGTCAGCACACACAACGGCTGCAACTACAGTGTGGTCTCCCCAGTGGACCAGCACGACAACCGTCTGGATTGAGCCGAGTAGGGGACATCTCTAGGGTCTTCAAGTGGGCACCTTCCGTCCTCAGTGTTTC